ATCGGCGGGAAGTGCCACAGAGATGCTAGCGCCCTCGATCGCCAGTTGGCCAAGCCGCGGGCGTGGTGTTGTCCTGATGCTGGGCTGGCTTGCGGGTGCCGAGGGTAATATGCAGCTATTGAGCCTGGCACAGAGCTAAGCCGAACCTTCTCCCCTACTCCACACACGTCGCCGACTGGCCGTCAGAGCACGCCGGACATGCTGCCGCTGCGGCCCAGTGGTGCCATTGGCTGCATGTCGCTCGCAGGCGCTGCGGGGACTGCTGGGAACTGCTGGCTTCTGGCGTGCTACCCTGCCGCTGCCTGTGATTAATTGTGTGGTCAAATTCCAGAAGACCGCAATTGCTTCTTCCCTTGTGGCTATAACATATGCTAGGCAAGCCCTCGACGTAACGCACCCGTCCTGCTCCCAATCCGCTGCCTGCTGCTTCACCCCCCCAAGCCACGTCGCGACGATCGATCTCGTGTGCAAGCGTCGATGCACAAACGGTTTACCAGCATCGAAATACCCAGTCTTCGTCCGCTAGGCTCCGCCACTTGAGCATCCTGGCCTGCCCTCCCCCGGCCCGCAACAGAGATTTGTGCGCATTGCAGCCACTCACACGCCCCTCAGCCCTCGATCGCTGCCACCCCCAGCGCCAGTTCCCACTTGCACTCCCATCTTCTGCCGCTTTGGGACACGCGGCCAACTTTGGCCGTTGCTTCTGTGCCTCACGTCACTTGTCGCGTATCTGAATCTAGCTGGGTGCTGTCCGAACCCTGTCGTCGCGGTACGTGAGCGTCTTTCTAGCTCCGTTGTTTTTCGGCCCATCTTTAGGCCTGCTCCGCCCAGCACATCCGCACCCGCGTGGACAGTCGCCACTTTTCCCCTCTCCGTTTACATACTTTGCCCGCCCGCTCCTCGCACTTTCTCCTTCTTCCATTATTCTTCACAGTCGAAGTCGTTGCTAGACGTACCCCTCGAACTGTACCAATCAGCCTTCCGTTGTTGTGCTGACATCGCTATCTGTCAGCTACCCCACCCTCGCCCACACACACACTTCGCCACACCGCACGTTGACTCCCATCTGTTGCTTGGACCTCGCCATGCCTGCCGAACGTCGAACCTTCACCTCGGCCAGACCGGTCAAGACCGAGCGCACTCATGAAGAGAACCAGGAGCGGTTAGTCGTCTCTTCTTACTCCGCACGCAACCAATTCTGATGCCCAACAGTGCCTACATTGCTGCCTCGCGCCGCAGTGACCGCAGCCTGGAGGCTCGCATTGAATCTGCTCGTAGAGCTTCTGAGATTCACAAGAAGCGCACGGGCCGTGCTCTTCGCGTGACCGAGCAGGATGTTATCAATGAGGAGATGTACGAAGAGGAGGATGATGATCTGCCTACCCAGTACCAGCGCCTAAACGCTCATCTTCAAACCACTTCGGTCATGTTCAACAAGAAGCTTCATGACTACATTGCGACCCAGCATGGCGTCAGGAACATGTTCATGTCCCAGTACCAGAACCAAGGCGCGGCGTTCCAGCAGTATGGTCCGCAGTATCCGGCCAATGGCGCTCAATTTGCACAGCCGAACAACTGGCTGAACCCGTCAATGCTCCCGCCTCAGCAGTTCGCCCCCGCGTCTCCACAGGGTTTCCAGCAAGCGCAATCCTTCAGCCCGACCACCGCTCAGCCGCAACAGGGATACAGACAGTCACCTTACCAGATTCCTCAACGCACTCACTCTCACCAGCGCGCTCTTTCTATTCAACTGCCCCAGGGCGCATCGCACTTTGACCCATCAGCTCAGCCGGCGAGTGCAGGTCTCACGACGCCACAGACTGAGCTCAACCGAAGACTGTCTTTACCGCCGCAAGCTTTTCAACAGCAAAACCAGACAGTAGAGCGACAAACGCGTCCTTCGTTATCGCGTTCGCCTACTACCCATTCGCTCCAGCACCGTCAGTCATCTTCGCCACAGAGCGCTTCGCCCAACGCAGCTTCCGTGCATGAGGCCGCACCTGTGCAGAGTGATCCTAATTCGCCTTCCTCCTATTCTTACAGCCCTACGAACTACCCATACAGCTCGCAGGCGCTCAACACCAATCCTTTGACTCTGTCTATGCCACCCGAGTCTCAGCAGTTCCTTGGATCTGTCCTGGATCAGAACGACCCACGCACTGCAGTCTTCATGGCAGGCAGCGATAACCTTCCTCAGCCTTTTGCTCCGACCTACACCTACAACCCCAACAAGGTTGGTCGGACAGCTAACGCCAGTAGCATGTCTGAGCATGCTAGTGGCTCGGCTCAAACATTGTCATCTGGTCTAAACTTGAAGACTGAGCCTGTTTCTGGTACCACGTCGCCGTCGGTACCCAGTGCTATTTCTGATGGCTTTTATTCCAACGATTCGTTTTTGACGCCTGGTACTGGTGAATACAGTGCCTTTTTCGATTTCCCTGGCGGCGATTTCCAACAGTCGTTTGACGACCAATCCGCCAATGACCACGACAATGGTAACAGCCTCGTCAACTGGGATTAGGTATCATTTTCGCCATTTTTATCTTGTTTTTTTGTCTTTGTGGACCAAGGTCCTTTGTACGATCCTTCTAGGATCCTGTCCGTCTAAGCTCTTCGATACTTTGCTACGTCTTTGGGTAACGGTTCTGGTTTCACACGCACATGATACCTTTTGTACAGTGTCGTTTACGAGGTTACGACTGAAGGCGTTGCAAGGAGTCTTCCTGTCGGTGAAGAGAAGACCCACACATAGGATGCAACAACCATCCTTCTTCAGGCGCTTGAGGGTGTTGTTGCCCATATAGCGATCTCCTCTTCCAGTAATCCTTCGATTTGAAGTGTTCCTGTATAATATATAATTGTAACGGTCATTTTCCGTATGCAATAGTCCTTCCGATCTCCGGTAACCTCATGTGCAAGTGATGCTTATCACAACATCTATGCTGCCACTCGCGGCCCAAACTGCTATTACGAGAGCCCAATGGTGTCCTGGCTCGCGGACCGTTGCTTGATCAGGTCTTCAGGGTTCAGTACCCCGAACTGGGGATGATACACAACCAGGGAGGGTTAGGCCTTCCAACTTGTACTTCCTACTCGGTAGTAAGCGGCTGGGCCCGTCGTAGGGAGCGTAGCATGCACTAGTTCCGGAGTGCGGTTGCGCGCACCTCTTCTGCTACGTAACAAATCACCTTCTTGTGAGCGATGAGTTCACATGGGTGCGTCTAGACTTATCAAACTCATCCGTGGATGATGGAGGTGGCCCTGCTGGGCTGGCTCACGTGATGCTACTGCAGCCGCGCTAGCGTCGTGAACAGTACCAATGGACACTGCCGTCCTCCGATCTTCCAACAGATCCATACCGCTTCCACGGCATACCCAGCCTAGCTGGTCTGCACCGCTGTCTATGTTCGGTTCCTGTTTCCTCTGCATCGAGATCCCTGTGCCGTCGGGACGTTCTAACGGCTTTCTGCATCAGTCGCGTCGTCCTACTGCGGTTGCTTGTGAAACGCAGCACCCTGAGCGTGAGTCTGGTTCCTGCATCTGTGCATCTAGCTAGTGATAGAACCCTCCATCTGCCGGCCATACGAATAACATAGTCCGATCCCTGATGTCGAGTCATCCATGGTCCATTTGTCGCGTTCCCCGAGCAGGCTCTTGTATTGTACCCTGGTACATGCGGCTGGCTGGACCCAAAAACGTCAGGGACTGTGCCCAGAATCGAGGCCGGTATCGCAGTCCGATCGCGTCCGACATTTTGGAGAGACAGTAGGATTCGCATATGGCTCATGCATCGAGCCAGATGAAGATGGCTAAAGACCGATTGTTCAGACATGTTGCCGACCGCACATAGCCCCGGAGGTCATGCATCCCTCCAAAAGTGCACGCAACCTTATGATTGGCAAACGACATCATAAGGAATTACTAAGGCGGTGTGGCACTGCAAACCTTTGTATTACCTATTGGATGCCTGGGAATACGAGGTCGGTCGAGCGTTGCGACACTGGGTACGCTTCTTCAGTGTCGAGTTACTCGAGTCCATTGGCTCGCAACAACACCATGCCTAGAGAAGTGACTGTATCAATTCATTCAGTCTCAACAACAGTGCGCTGGGTCACTTCGTCATTCGCGAATTTCTTCCTTCGCCTTCTGTACTACCAGCGGTGATCGCTGCGCTGCAGTGTCATGTTGCTATCCGTCCGTCGTTTACCCTCCCGTGATTCCTTTCTTGGGTTAGACTCAAGATATTAGCGGATTGTTGCACTGGCAATTTAAATGCATACACCAGCTACCTCGTATGCGGGCTGCTATGCATCGACTGAAGCCATTATGGCCTATCGAAGCGGTGCATGCCTTTCTCAGAGGCAGCCGCTACTCCAAACTCTCGCAGTCAAGAGACGGAGCCCAACACGTTCAGCATCAAGCGCATAGAAGTCATGATTTTCAAACTAGCCGTCTTCATCGTAGACGTTGTCATCATTCAAAGAATCGGATACCATCGATACAAGCATGATGCCGTGCTGCATGCCCATAGTGGAGCTAACCGAGTATTTCACTGCGGCCGTACGGCTGTAGCAGTATCGTGTCATGATATTGTCGCGGTGGAACGTAGATCATCACATATAAGGTCATTGTCTCCAGTCAATCGAGGCTCAAGCCGTCCAGCTGTAGTTGTCTGTTCGACACATCCTCTCATTACTTCCCCTCAACACTCGTTTCTTTCTTCATCTCTTGGAACAGGTGTGTCTTGCGACTCACATAACAACCATGAAGCTCAGTACCTTCACTCCGTTCGCGGCTTTCCTATCGCTCACTGCAGCTGAGCGGATGCCATGTAAGTCTCCCCATCGTATCTGCTGTTGGATGTACACACTTCTTCCGTCAACGTACCAATCGTCACGCTCTCTGAAATCTAAGCACGTGAGTTAATATTCTGAATTAGTGAACTTCCCACAGCATGTACGGCCTCGGCAGTATGCACCACCACCACCATACTCTCCTCCTTACCCAAGTTTAAGCAGCACCGGCGGAAGTGCGTCGTCCACCTTCTCCAGCGGCACCGGCGTCTCGCTGTCTACTTGGACGCCTCCAGTTCCAACGTCTTCGTCAACTGCAAACTCTACATCGCCAGGTCCCTCTACAGTCGTCTACACTAGTGTCGTTGTTATCACGTCGGTTATTGTTCCCTCGACATCGTGAGTTGTGATCAGTCCTGAATATAATTGCTCGCTTAACTAATCCATTGCTCAGTGAAACTTTCTCTGGAGATACGTCGACCGAAGCTACAGCGAGCAGCTGGGGCAGCAGCTCTTCTTCCATGAGCATCCCTCTTTCGACTGGACCTCAGTCATCCGGAACAGGATACTACCCAACTTTGCCGCCACATGATTCTTCCGCACCTTATGGCAACAGTACTGGTACAGCTTCATCAACTTGGGGTACTGGTACCGCGCCAGGATCTTCAATGCCATCTTTGACCTCCACTGCTAGTACCAACTCCACTGGATCCAGAAGCTCATACATTCCACGCCCGTCGACAACTACAGAAAGCCCGAGCACCAATGTAACTGTCATTACGTCCGTCATCACCTCCACCATTGCCATTACCACATCCGTTCCATACCCTTCCAATGGTACTATCACGGAGACAAACACTGGGCCCACGGCAACATCCAGTGGAAACGGAACTCTTTCTCAGACTCCGTCGTCGTCTGGCTACTACGGTCCACCTGGTAACGCCACCAGCAGCGGTAGTCCCTCTGAAACCGATACTGTGTCTTCATCGTCGATCGACATCTCCACAATCTCCTGGATCACCTATACTTCCGAAGTTTCTTATAGCGAGTCGGAGACTCCGACGCCAACCACTGACTATTACACGTCATCGTCAACCTCGACTTCAACGTGGTCTAGGAAGTCCAGAGTTTCCCGGAGTCGTTCTTCCACACGTACCTGGTCTAGAACACTCACCATGTCCAGATCCTCGACCACGGACGGCTCCTCATATACGCCCACTAGTTCGGAAGAGTCGTCGTCAGCTACTGAGACTGAAACCTCTTCAGATTCTTCTTCGTTGGCCTCATACACACCTTCGTACACGGCATCTTCTACATATGATACCAGCAGTGTGCCTAGTGCTTCAGAGACTGATTCTGCAACATCTTCGTTGCCGTACTCGTTCAGCATTTCGTTCAGCTCGATCGAGACGACCTCAGACTCTTCCACACCCACGTCGTCTGGAGTCATAACTTTGCCTACGCCCTCGCCAACCACGGAGAGCTATTCGTACTGGTCTTCCTCATTCAGCGAATCATCCACGGACTCTGAGCTTGTTTCGTACACTGAGTCGGTAACTTCAGGCACTAGCAGCTTCGTCTTGCCTTCCGAGACGCCATCGGAGTCGTTGACCAGTGATTCTGGTACTATCGAGACGCCCGTCCCGACAGTAACACCCTCTGACACATCCTCTTCCGACTCTCCTGTCACGTCTGTCAGCTCGACCAGCTCTGAGACCCCCGAAGTATCTAGCTCGTCCATGTACAGTGAGACGGAGTACACCACCTTCCCCTCTTCCTCCACCGCCCCAGCCTCTTCCAGCAGCGAGTTCAGCTCTGAGGTCGAGACTTCTTCTACACTCTCAGCCTCCGAGAGTTCTCTAAGCTCAACCTACACCGACGCCACCGCTACTTCCTTCCCGGTCGAGTCCTCGACCGCTTACCCCAGCAGCTCCACGTCGGGTTATTCCTACTGGACCCCTCCGGTCAGCTCGGTAACCAACACGGATGCTACCGCCTCCTCCTGGCCTGTGGATTCTAGTACCTACCTTACGAGCGCGACGAGCAGTCTCACACTAACGACCTTTGAGACGAGTGCCAGCTCCACCAAGAGTGGGTACGCGATGCCACCTGAGGTGACGTACGAGGCGCAGAACGACAAAGTGAAGCGAGGCATGGTGAGTTCCCCTCTTACTATATGATGTCCAAAAGGATGAGTACTAACTATCTTGGTAGATGGGCATGTGGTTCATGTAATCTATCCTGCACGACACTCACGCGGTTGGGCGATGTAAGCCCGTTGTGAGGCCGATTGGTGAAGCTACGACATGTCATTGCGTCTTTACCAAACAAACCACATCCACATTCTCTACTGTCCTTTACTGGTGTAGACATACCTTTTCCTCTTTGTTAATTCTCTTCACTTCTCTCCCTCACCACCCTCCCGCTGTGTCAATGATGTCTGGGCTGGGTATTTAATCGTCATGGCTGCAAGATCTTGGGTCATAGTTCAATACAACATGTGTTTCTTTAGACGTACCTCGTCTCCAAATGACGTGATGAATATCTGACATCGGCGATCATGATGTATTGTGATACAAATCGAATGAGCCTCCAGAATACTGCGCAATGACTTCGATATATCCCGTGCCTCCAAGAGCTCAACGGGCGAGCTTTGCCTCCGACGCACCATATTGCTAACCTCGTACCGAAGATGAGCACCCAGTGTTGTATAAAGTCTTGCTACGAGTTGTATCTTGAATATGCGCTGAGGCCGTCAAGGCGGTGGTACATGGGCCGTGGCATGTTGTGTGTAGACGAGAGTCGTTATCGAAAAGCAATCGAGCCGAAAGATGAGGAAGGCAGCGGAATGGTGAAGCGCGGTACAGGTATCGAGACCAACGTTGGCGAGGACAGTCCTTCACCCAGTAGCGTCAGCAACGTAACCTCAACTGAACAAACATATCGTAGCACCATCCATGAGAGCCATATTGTCGTCATTGAAACATTATTTCATTCATTCTGCCGTGACGATTAGGCGTCTTCTTACTCGGTGCAGCTATAGCAACGAAGCATGCCTCCTCGATGTCATTATGTGTCGTCCCTGATGTCCGTCGACGTCTTTACATCTTGCTCTTAGCCTCGCCCTTGAGCTCTTGGGTCTTGCCCTTGGCCTCACCCTTAAGCTCTTGAGCCTTGCCCTTAGCCTCGCCGGCCATCTCCTTTGCCTGGCCCTTGGCCTCGCCGGCGGTGTCGGGGGTGGCTTCCTTAACGGCGCCAGCGACTTCCTCTGTTCAAAAGGTGTTAGCGTTTGTTGCTTCATAGTGCTATCTAGGTAGTGTAGCTGGAGTGCGCACTGTACGATGTCGTCATATTCTCGGCTGTTGAGAACAGAGAGCATCAGGCAGTGTAACGCAGGTAGGATGTGTTGGGGATGGAGTGTGTACGTACCTCCCTTCTCAATGCCCTTTACAGCGGCACCTGAGATTGTCCTGTCGACAGCCTTGGCAGCATCCTTGATAGCTTCTACGGGGCTCTTGCGCGCGACGGGTGTGGTGCTGAAGAGGCGGGCCTGGCGGGCAATCTGTTGGCGGAACATGTTGATGGTGTTGTGTGTGGTGTTGGTGTTTCGAGGTGAAGTTGTTGGTAGGGGTGAGAGAGGTGGCAATTGAGTTGTTCGATGGTTTGTTAGATGAGGTTCCTTTGAGTGTGTGCGGAAGACAGCTTTAAAGGATGTGTGGACGTGGACTGAGCTGCTGTGCTATGACGTAGTTATGATCAGCCAATCGCGGATGTGGGTCCGCGTATTGCCATGCATGCGCGAGGAACGTCGCGTTTACGGAATTCGCATGCCGGGGTATCACAAATTTTTACATGTGCATTATGTTCTTGTGCGCGATGTTGATTCATTACGATTACTTTTGCTGTACTGATTAGTATAAAACTGCATGAGCTCAGGCTTAGTACAGCGCCTTCTGCCACCATGCACACCTAGCGTTCGCGTTGCTGTCGCGTACATCCTCGATGCCCGTAACGTTAAGCTCCAATACGGTCGCATCCGGACCGTACATGTTGAACTGCTTCACGCCTGTAGCATCTGGCACACCATTCTCAGCGAAGCTGGTGATGAACTCCTGCAGAGCGATGGCAATGGTGGTGTTGGCAACACCTTGGAGCCCGGTGGAACCTGCACCGCCCTCAAAGTACGTGTACGGGATATCCTGACCATGAATAGCCGGGGGAACTGCGAAGAGATAGGAGTATGTCTTGTTTCCGTAAGCCCTGGAGAGGTAGTTGGTGTTGCACGTGAAGACTCCTTCGCTGACAATGAGGCTACCGCGCTCGAAGTTGTTGGTGTATGGTAGAGACCCGTCGAACACCGGGGGGTAGAGAGTCTTGGTAACATAATCGAGGGAAGACTTTGGAGCGTTGGCGAATGCGGACGAGATTTGGTCTTCCAATGCAGCCTCGTTTGGAATGAAGAAGGGCGTGAAGAGGGCTCCTTCGTTCGCATTGTGGCCGACCATTACGCGCACGTCCTTGTCAAATCGACCTTGTGCCAAAAGCTGAGCTGGCTGAAGAGGAGCGAAAAGACCATCCACGACCGGCCCGTAAGTGAATGTACCGTATGGGGAATCATAGGTGATCTGCTGAGCATTCGCAAGCATTACCTCTTCAGATGAAAGAGCCCGCAACTCTGCGAGGGAAGTGGTGTTGGTAAGAGTGAGGAACCTCTGGTAGACATCTTCCTGAGTGACAACAGAAGTTGTAGGTTGCCATCCAGGGCTCTGGGGTACGGCTTGCTGGAAAGGAGCAGATCCATTAGCACCACCGTATGCAGTAATCTGATGCATGATCGAGCCACCTCCAGCGCTCTCACCAAATACAGTGACCTGTAGACACAAATCAGCACAAATCATAGATGCATGGACCAGTTCTGACTTACTCGGTTCTTATCACCTCCAAAGAGATGAATGTTCTCCTGGACCCACTCAAGCGCAAATCGCTGATCGTACAAACCTAGGTTGGATACACCTCCTTCTGCTTGGTATGAAGGGCCACCCGTCCAGCCCAAAGCACCAAGGCGATAATTCATCGCAACGTAGATAACATCGCCATTGGACGAGTTGCCGGAGGCCGCGAGCAGACCCGCAGGGTTGTTGTTTTTCTCGCCTCCTGTGTAGCCGCCTCCGTAGATCCATACGAGAACAGGAGCCCCGTAGCCTTGCCCAGCTTTGCTAAGCACATCCTCGGGAACAAAAACATCCAAAAATAAGCAATCTTCAGACTCGCGGGGATCCGGCTGTGGGACCGGACTGGTAGCATTTGCTGGCATCACTGAATAAGTTGTATTCGAAGCAGGAAGGCCGAGCGCATATCTGGCCAACGACTGTGCTGCGGCTGCAGACCAAGCGGGATTTGCCTGAGGGCATATTCTGTAGATGTTAGTATGATTGTATGAACTTCGGTTTCCTGTGGCACTTACCTCGATGTCTCGCCGGTGTTGATAGATGACCTGTTTTCTGCTGGAGCCTGAGGTGGTGCAAACCTCAAGTCACCGACAGGCGGTGCAGCATACCGTATGTTGGAAAAGTTGTAGAAGTTGCCGGTGTCCTAATTGGGTCAATCAACAAAGTGACATCAAGGATTTGATGATGGTATACGAACATTGAACCCTGAAGCCTGGTAAATCTCGTAGCCCAGGTCGACTACAGGTAATGAGGAGTTCTGTGCATATGCAGCACCTATCAAGGCTGCTGCAGCAGCAAGTTGCAACATATCGGCGAACGGGATGAAAGTATGAATAGAGAAGTAACGACGAGGGCTACCCAGGTGTATATTCCAATTGCTCGGGACTCACGACGGTAGAGGAGACACAGCCGCGTACAAACGTGCAAGGAAGGCCCATCCATCGGGCACGGGTAGAGCATCCATATATACTCCTGTCATTTGCCCTAGTCCAGCCCGGCCAGCATCTCGTAATGCTGTCGCGATCACGCATAAGCCGCAGACACGTCCCGCCTCAGCCTAACGCAAACGTCTCCACGTACACCGCGTAGTAATCGTCAACGGAGTCAAGCTCGCCTGCCGTGCCGGTGGCTTCGCCAGGCAATACACAAGTGCGTCATCGCGGTGGAACATTCGGCGACTAGCGGTGTCACTGATTCGCTCGCTGAGGCCTGGCGCGAGATACGGTCGATACGTGGCTAGCTGTGGCACAGCTGCTAGAACTCATCCACATGCCTGAGGCTCTGATAATCTCGTGGATTTTGTATGTGCACAGTTGTAGACATTTTTGACTTCTGACAGGTAGAATTAAACTTTTTGAAACGTCGTTCGGTGTCCCGGTGAGATGGGAGCGGGAATGTCATCTCGGCTGTAACTGGCAAGACGGTCCGACGAGGATATTCCCCGCAAAAAGGAAGCAATGCTGGCAGGGTATCTTGCCGAGGCATCTCGACTGGCTATGCGATGCCTTCCGATGGCCTGGTAAGGCTGATGTGAAAGAATGCGCGCAGTCCGCGGGGTACGTACCATAATGGCGTACGGACGAAATTCTGGCCGTCGTAGGTTCTCTAACCACAATAGAGACCCATCAAGTATCCACCGTATCGCTTCGTCGCTAGGGGTACCATTGTTTTGTTCACGATCCAACGTGATCGCATGCAGAGGTAGTCGCGATTCGTACGTGTACCCTAGATGTAGGGGTTCAGCCTTCCTCGAGTCCACCTAGCGCCACGGGATACCCATGCAGCCATGGGTGCATCAAATACTGGTGTAGGTGAGCTGTTGTTCGATATAGCCTGCCAATAAGCGCAGCACCGAGACGACAACAGTTTTTGTCACGGCCATTCGTAGATACTAGTGCATAAAATTAGGAAGGTGAGCTGAGATGACGCCCAGCGCTCGAGATGTGAGCAGGTGGTGGTCAGTGCACCGGCGGCCCTAGGGCTCTGGTGCTGGCTTGCGCTCAGCTAGCACCCAGGCTATCTTCAGTTCCTTATTACTCACACGACAGCCTCCCCAGGTATATAGCCGTTGGCCTTGAGCTGCTGATGATGTCTCAAAAGTGGACGGTATCGCTGATGAGGTCCTGGTCGACTGACGTCCGTTTCATGCAACGACCACGCGGTCGAAGAGCCCAGAATCGTATTCTAGGTACTGCTACACTGTCAG